ATGCATTAATATTTGATTGGTAATATTTAACTAAAGTCCTTCAAGATAAATAAACTTATAAGTGTACACTATAGAAATGAGATGACAAAAGATTATTAAAGAATTTCTTTTTTACTTTGAGATAATGAGAACTCGTCTGAGAAAACACATGTATTTGGAGGTTTTACGAAAAAGCTATTAAAAATAAAGAAAAAATCGCAAACACACATATAATCATATTACAGGCTGAATTAACCGAATAGAAAATAAAGAATAATTGTCTAAAAGAATTTATTATTTTTATTGCTAAGATTATTTACTTTATTCTTTTTACAAAAACTTCAAACATGTCCTTTAAAATGTAAGCAGAGGCGCCTCTACGAATAAAATGAGGGAAGGGAGGGGATCCTTAATAAGTACCAACTAGTTCTTAAAAAAAAAGACATCAAAACTAAAATTCACCAGAATTGTGTCAAATACCCCTCTCCCTCCTAAAATCGCCTCTGAATGTTAGGTCTGCGCTATAAACGCCCAAACGTCCGTAAGATTATCACATAAAGCCAGTGACAACATAACAACGACTCATAGTTTTAACAACATTCTAAAACAAGATGTTTTAAGAACAATCCAAACGTTGTAAAATTTGAGACATTTTTTATTTAAGCTTGATACATTCAAAATGAATAAATAAAAAATCATATTTAAAATTGAAAAATTAGATTTCTCAAAAAATTAAATCAAATACATTATACAAAAGTCAAGTAAAAAAAAAAAAAAAAACCCCGCATACAAATTGGATTTTCCCAAACAATCTTCCCTTTTCAAACCGGCAAAATTATTTAATGCTGTCGAACCATTAACCTACTAACTTAAGAGAAAAAAAAGAATTAAAGCAATTTTTTTTTGCTATTTGAATTAAAAAGAAAAAAATCAATACAGCAATACAATGCAGCTATTTAATTTTTTAAATTGCCCAATTTAAAAATTACAGCTTAATACTTTCACAAAAATAATCGCAATTTTTTCCTTATTTATTATTGACGATTCTTAAAAGTTAAATAACGCATACACCTACAAATTATTTGCACATACACATAAAATATATAAACAAAATACAATTAATAAAGTAAACAAATCTCGCGTTTTTTAATAAATCTCAACCTCGTTTAACCACGACAGTTAAATAAAAACTAAACTTATCTAAACTAAAGCATTTCATTAATAATAATGATAATAATAATAATAATAATAATGAAATTCAAAAACATTCAACAAAATAACAATAGAAACAATAATGGCTGCTAGAATGCAGATAACTTACAATAACGGATCGACGCGAATACGTTTATTGTTTTTAATGACCTAAAGTTCGTCTGCTTACTTTTTTTTATATATGCTAAAAAAGGCGCCACTTGCGAGATGCTCTTTATTACAAGTGCAAACAAAGCAACTTTATTTATAAAAATAATTTTTCGAAAATTTATGAACAAGATCAAGATAACTACTCAATAAAAAAAAAACATAAAAATTGCATAAAACGTTCTACATAGAATCTAAAAGTAACACACACACACCATCATCTATAAGATAAATCTTTAAAAGTAGCCTTATCTAATCAATATTTTCTAAGGCAAATATTTTAGCAATTACTTAAGAAGAAAAACACCGCCACCAAATAAACAAAGATGACAACAAAGCAACAAAAAGATATAAAACAATATTGAAAAAAAACGACATGTGTTTTATTTGAATTTAACAAACATAAACAACTAGCTAGAATAATATTCACAATCCAGAGATAAGAAAAATCTTCCGAGAGAAATTTAAAAAATCCATAAAATTGACACATTAAAAATCAAGACTGCACATTAGAGCAACTCCTTGTTTGATCCAATGAGATTGTGGTCGATTTGTCGGAAGCTCTATTTGAAGTACAAAGTTTGTTGAATGACCAGTAGTCGAAAGGGATCCTAAAAAATTTATAATATGTATTTACAACATGACAATAGCACTTCCAAACAAATAAAAAAAAGAGAGAAACTTGTAGCTCAACTAAAGAAAAAAAAAAAAAAACCCCACAGCATTTTCTTCAAATGGCATTAAAAATGAAAGGCCAAAGACTTCAACAAACACACGCGCGCACACACACAAACAAAACTAATACAAAAGCGCAATTCAAATCAAGTTACACTTTAACTAAGACGCAGAGCCAGAATTCTGTCATTCAAAAGTGCGATTACACAATAATTATGTGTTTAAAAAATGTATAACTATTTGATAATTATGTAATTAAGTAAATGTGTTTAAATAAGTGCAATTGTATAAACACATTTACTTAATTTGTGTTTAAGTATGTGTTTATATAATAAATGCGATTATATAATAAATGTGTTTTACCAGCTCTCATTAGTGTTTTGTATACGGGGCATTCGTAGACACCCTCAGAAGGTTTTATACGGTTTGGACAGGGTTTTAGCCAGATAACAGGCATTTCGGTAAACAATTCTTTAGATCGACTTTCAGTAAGTTCGTTTTCAGAAAAGGACCATCGTGCTCCTTCTAAATATAGGCCATTAATATAGCAACCATCGCGTGGTCTTTCTGTTAATTTCGATACGGGCAACTTAAGAACCTAAAACGCATACATTAAATTAAATACAGACCTTTTCCTTCCTGATAAACAACTTATTTAACAGTAACATTAACTTATAAGATAGCGGACTTACCGAAAAGTCAAATGATATAGTATCAATAGATGTCGCGTATGAACGTGCATAGTTTTGTAAAATGCCTGTCAGAAAACCTTGTGGAAAAAAAAACCCGGATATCCAGAAAACCTAAAAACAAACACAAAAAAAAAACACTTTGTTTACATGCAAAACGTTTATAAATTAAATAGACTGGAATGGCTAACAAAATTTAAAAAACCGTGTTAACTTGGATTTTTAAAAATAGCGTAAATAGAGTTTTTAAAAATCATTTAATAAAAAAATAACATTTTTTAATAAAATTTTTGTTTTACTTTTTTATTTTTTCGGGAGTTTTAAGTTCTGCAAGCATTATAAAGATGTAATCGGAAGTCAGTAGCTAGATGCCTATAATTAGTTTTGTTATAAATATGTTTCTTAAATTTCATTGTTCTTTACTTGATTTTGTTATAAATTTTATAAAAGTAGCTTTTAAAAGAAAACATTAAAATTTGCTCCGTTGCTTTATTATTACTATCTGGAGATTTTAAATTACGATTCCTTAGTTTTTTTGAAATCGCTTTTGATTTCTTTTCAATTAAAATTCCGTCGAAAGCATCAAAATGAAAACCAAAATTAAAATCAAAAAACTTTATAGAAACTTGGAAAATAATAATAGTTTGCATTTTGATACAAAAGCCAACATTGATATCAGAAAAATGTTAACGTCATTTCAAAGAACTAATATTTTGGATAAAAAAGCTAAAAAATCTTTGTTATTTAAATAATAAAAAAAAAAAAACTAGCGTTGAATACTAAAATAAACAAAAACTATAAAAAAAAATTAAGTCAAAAAAAAGTTCGTTGTCGTGACAGTTGGATTTGACAGTTGAAAGCTTTTTTTAATAATTAAAATGTTGTAAAATAAGTTATGAAGTTGTGAAATATCAATAATTATTAGCTTCAATAATTTATTCTTTTTTAAACAGTATTTATAAAGCTTTCTAATTGGAAATTTGATAAAACGCTGTTTTTTCTTTGTCAATCAGAGAACAGTAAAAATCATCAATTATATAAGCATCACAAAATTGTAATTTTTTTTACCAAGTAGTCAAGTAGTCAAAACTTCTCAATAAATAATGATTGTTCACGATTACGTCTTTACAACAGATTGTGATTTGTAAAAACAAGAGAAAACAATTCACATCGAGAACCGACGCCTTTGTCACTGATTAAAGAAGGCGACAAATAAATCAAGCACTATCCACATGTCAATAAAGTATTATAAGGAATTTAAAAATAAAATAAGAACTAAAAGTTACTTATCAAAACCACATTCTTAAACGTATTTTTATTATTATTTTTTATTAATATATTTTTTGAAATATTGCTTTTAATACCATAAATGCTCTAATATACGCCTCTTCTCTCAATACTAGGATTTCTTTGTAACTTTCATGTTTAAGACCACCGTTAAAAATTACAAATATTTAGATTAAATTATAATGACCTGCTTCAAAAAGTAATATAAAATTAAAACTTTGAAATAAGCGTCCCGGCGTTTAAATTGTAAGAGTTTCAAAAAATCGAAGTGCACCTAAAAAATCAAAAACATTCACTCGTTTTATTAAACTTTATACGCGTTAATACAAAAATCGATACCATAAATTATAGTGCGCCATTAGCTGTTAAGTTTAATAATTTGATAATAATTTCAAATTTAAAAATGTTTTTTATACAAATATACAAACCGACGGAATTCCATTGTCAATCCATAACTTAACAAAATTAATGCGGGTAGTTAAGTCAATCACCCATGAAGCTAATGGTTTCAAAGACGGGTAAGCCTAAATAAATAAAAAAGAATTGTAGTTTATTATACATATACAGCTTTTTTAACATAAATGCAAAATATATAAGGCAGAAAATATTTGCCAAAAATTTTAAAACTACGTAACAAAACATCTTATTTTAAGAGCTTCTACATTGAGAAGCGAAAAATACTTAAAAAATACTTTTTACATTGAGAAGCAAAAAATACCTAAACAAATACCTGAGCAGTACAGTATAGTGTGCAGTAAGAAAAAAACATATAAAAAGAAAAAAACATATAAAAAGAAAAAAACATATATAATAAGGTTGTATAGCTAAAAAAATTACCACTAGCACGTTATCATTTAATTCATGGCGTGAGAGTTAAAATATGTCAAGCAGGTTACTCAAAAGATTTGTTCTTAAAAAATATAGGAAATAAATAAATAAATAACCTAGTAAAATATTTATTCTTGATATTCACTATAGATATATTTCACATTAGTTGGAGTGCATATACGTACAATAAAATTGGCCCTGCCTTTACATATAATGGAAGACCCAAATCCATTGTACTAAACTGACAGTGGACACCTGGGCAACCAATAAAATATTGAAAACCCAAACAACTTTTCCCCTTTATACGTACGGACTTGAAAGCAGTTTTGAAACATAAAGGTTTCAGTCAAAATAACATTTTATAAAGTAATTTTTAAATTGTGTACCGCTTAGATAAAGAATTAATAAGTTGCGTACAATTGAGTCATATTTTGGGTGCGTACAATTGAGTCATATTTTGGGTGCGTACAATTGAGTCATATTTTGGGTGCGTACAATTGAGTCATATTTTGAGTCTGAGTCATATTTTGGTCATGCCATACAAAAACAGTAATGATAAAAGCATGATAAAATTTTGATGCTACAAGATTAGATATTTTTTTTTTACAAAACAACTATATGTATATGTAAATGACAAACAAAACAATATGCGAAAGTTGCAATCTAACTCGAAAAATCTAATACAGCAAACCACTATGGCATCACTTATTATGTGCTTATTAACAGATGGTAAGGAAAATATAGAAATAAGAAAAAATCTGTGTGTTCTGGCGGTACCAACATTTAACACAGCCTGCATGATCCAAAAAATATTATTATTAAAAGAAAATATGTAACAAATAATCAAGTTCACTTTTAAATTTATATTTTTAAATTATAAAAAAATTACTCCAAAAAAAAAAAAACATTTATTGTGAATAAAAATTAAAAATAAAATTCGCAAAAACTTTTAATCTTTTTCGAAAACAGCATTATTTATTAATATATTTTAAAAAATCTTTTACAAAAGATTTTTTTTTAAGCTAAATACCACAAAAACACCTGTCTTATTATATATACCATTACTTTTTTTAAATATTTGATCCCAATTCAAGTAAAAATAAACAAATTTAGCTTTACTTAAAACAAAGCTTTAAAAATATATTGGGAACAATTGGAAAATATTGGGAACAATTTACTAAAACATACATATAAAAATAAAAAACATAATTAAAACAAATATATTAACCTTTACAACCCACTTGCTAGGAACCTGGTTGTTAAACAAACTATTTGACATCATCTCTAATTCCTCTGACATCACTACCACTCCTTTCAAAGCTTTTATTAAATCCTAAGCAGAAAAATACTTTAGTAAATCAATAAATTTTTTTTAGTGTACTACTAACTACATTTTACGAATCAATAAATTATAAAAAGCAACAAACCAAAGAAAAAGTTCAAAAATTATAAGTTACAATTTTATTCACTATTTAATATACATATATCATTTGGTAATGTAACTTTAATTTATGATTAACTAAATATAAATACCTTTAATGATTGCTTGACAGCGTTAAGTAACTTGTTATAGCGCGTAATTTCCTGAATTAAAACAGTGTTCATTGATTCTTCATAGATCACAGGGTACTTCTTCACAACAGACTCAATATCAATTGGATCAGGAACCTGCTTAAGTATATTTATTGCAGTTTCTTCAATGATCTAAAATTAGTATTTTTGAAAAAAAAGAAATTAAGTTTTTTTTTTAATAAAGTCAAATATTGACTGCTTTTATAACATTCCTAGAATAAAAGTGTACAAAACCTCCTCTTTTGATCTTCCTAATCCAGGTAACGACTTAGGTTGTAGCTGCAATATTCCGCTTAAATATCTAAAAGATTCATTTTGTGAAAAGGTGATATTTGCATTTTCATGAAGACCAAATATTTCTGGAGCATCATTGATGGGTAACTGAAGGATATATTCCATGTACGACTAAGATCAGTAAGAACATTTTATTAAGAAATTTTTAGGATTACATATATATATATATATATATATATATATATATATATATATATATATATATATATATATATATATATATATATATATATATATATATATATATATATATATATATATATATATATATATATATATATATGTATATATATATATAATACTCAAATGAAACCTCATTTCTTGTTTGTATGTTTTTGTAGTGTCTGGATAATTATAATAAGCATTTTAAAAATGAAAAAATCATCATAAAAAAAGAACATACTTTATGATCTGCACCTAAATCTTGTTGACGATATATACCAGAGGGTGAAAATTTAAAATGAGGTTGCAAAACATTGGGATTGTAATGATTATCCAAAATAGTCATGAGACATCTACGATCCCAGTCATCTGTTATACGACCACCATAATTGATATGACCAGCTGTATATTTAAGAACCTAAAAAGCAGTGATATAAAAATAGTTTTCTTAAGTGTAAAAAAAAAAAAAGAAAAATTTTAAATTACCTTATACGGAACATCAAAGTATTCTTCAAGAAACATACCCAATTGACTAACACAAATCTGTAAATCACCTTCTGTAAACTCATAAGGAATATTAAAGCCAAGAGGACCATATCTGCGACGTTCAAGAGAAACTCCATGAAATAGACACAACGAAAACAAAAGTGACTTGTAATCTTGATTCTGATAACAAAAAACATGCCAATATGTAAAACAAACAACCAAGTATGCAACAACTGTTTTTTTCACTCAATTTATTTAACAGACTTTGTATACAAGTGAACATTGAGCTTATCAAGTATAGCCAAAAATAAATAAATAAAGAAAACTAATTGATTGCAAGTTACTACAGCACTACATCATTAAACTAATGATCTTGACATTTGCAATATCATTAAACACAAAAGAATTAACTTAATGCTATATTTAATAAAGATGTTACAAACTTAGTACTTTGGTACAAAGGGAACTCGCCTTGATTAGTTATTAGCTATTACAATGTTTCCTTCTTAACTAGTAAAATAATCTAGTCAAGTAAATAAAAAAAGTAAAAAAAAGCATTATTTGTATTACTAGTAAACAATTACATATCTTCGATTAATTTTTATTTTTGCATTAGCAACTGTCAAAATATGCTTTGTTTAAAAAATAATTCTTCTCTATTTTAATATACTTCCTTGTAATTTGTTAATGTATTTTTCCCTCAGGCTTTCACTGCTGGGGGGTGACTATTTAGCAAATTTATATGCCATTGTTTTTAAATATAATATAAGCAATGTAAGCATTATTTACATCACATTATTAGTTAGCAATTACATATGGTGAACCATTAATAGGATGTCTATGTGTAAAAGCACATATAATGGTCACAATAACAAACAGACTATACAAGTTATTTGATTATTGAAAAATAACTTCTAATTAAAATGCAATAGGATATTTGGATTAGAAAAGTTGTTCGCCTTGATAGATGATAAAAATTTACCAATGCTGCAATTAACTGTAAAAAATCTTCAAGAAAAACAAGCTAATGTTTAAAGTTAAATATAGGACACTTATTTGGCTATAGGGGTAGTATGTTTCCTGAATTTGTTTTTCTATTTAACTTTTTTCAAATAAATAGTTTCTTAACAAAAATCTATTTATAGTAAAGTTTTTTTCAGTCCACCATTATGTTTACAGCCCACCATTATGTTTATGTAAAGCCTGACTTTATACTATGCCAATTTTGTGACTGCAACAATAAAAATATGTAAATTATTTTTACTAAAAGATCCTAGCAAACATAAATGTACATTATCTGACAATATATAAATGCCACACAGATAAAAATTTTCTAGAATACAGAAAAAAATTCAAACTAGAAAAAAAGGTACAAAATAGAATAAGATAGTAGAAAAAGTTTAGTTTTTATGCTTTAAATAAATAAAGATTTAAAAAAGTTTTGTTTATTGTCAGTCAAAATAACAAAAATACCTGTTTGCACATGTTTAAAAAATCATCATTCCATCCAATATATGACTTTAAAAGGTTAGCTTTAATTCCTTTTGGTGGTTCTACAGTCATTTTTGAGCTGTTCTGTAGAATTGCTACTGGAAACTTTGGACTTGGCATACTTGTGGCCCACATTCTAAAATCTCGATGAACCTTAGCAATGAAATAAAAAAGTTTATAAATAATTATTTAGAGTACACAAAATTATTCTTGACAAAAACCTTTACTTACCTTGTCTGGATCTATGCCCTCAATCATTCTTTCTAGTGAGGGCATCCAGCTAGGAGCTAAATGACAATTTTGAAAAAATACCCATTTCCCACGCTCCATAGCAGCATTTAACATTGCTTCTGCACGAGGTCCCTGCCCTTGACCAAGAGATATAGAACTCATTTTTTTTAAAAAACGCATTTCTTCTGCAAACTTGTACAAAGCTGCTGCTGGATCTGTTCCCGGAGAAAGAATGAAAATTAATGGTGTTGTGGGAGAGGAATCTTTAAAAAGTTGTGCAAGATCAGAATTTTGAGGTTCAATAAATCGTTGTCCAAGATGAAGTGCAACAAAATCTTGCATACCATTTGTCAACTTATCGGCACATATACAACGTAATACTAACAATTTTTGAAAAGCATCTAATCTATTTTCCCATTGCAAAGGTAAAACTTCTCTATTATACAATAAAATAAAAAAGAATTATAAGACTCAATGGAATGATGATTTTTTAAAAACCATTAATGAAATTTATAAAAAAAATATATTCAAAATTTTTCCAAAAAATAAAGTCCTCTCTACCTGTGTGGTTGATTGCTATCAAATACTCTTTTAAATTCATTAAGATTTTCACAAAAATCTGTAAAAAATTCACTAAACTGAGGTAAGTTGCGTAAAGAAAGAATTCCTTTCCATGCACGCTCTGACAACCATTCTACTGCAGGATTTGGAAGCAATTCAGATATCCCTATACCACCTGTTAAAAAAAAACTCCATTCATCCAAATTAATTTGACCTTTGTTCATCAGAATACGAATAGAAAGAAGAAATGAAAATAGTAACTTATGTTTTTCAAATAGACTGCGACAAACATTTGAATACAAGCTGAAGGTAAAAAAGTTGTTAATATTTTGCACTCGTTGGGAGATAGTATCTAAAAAACATTTTTAAAAACAATGTTTATTTGAAATTCAAAAATATTTAAAAGTAATGTTTATTCAGTAAATAAAAGACAAGAGAAAAGTACTAAAACACTTAATTGAATTTCTAACCTGCACGTGCTGCACTTGCTATTCCACTAAGAAATAGTTTTATAAACCAATCCAGTGAATATTGATACATGGAATCTATCATTGCAAGATCATATGTGCAAAAAAACAAAATTTGCGATCTAACAGCAACTGGGATATACTCACTTCTAATTGCATCAATACTATTCTCAGTCTGTTCAGCAATAACAACTTTAGCCTATAAGTAAATGTTTACATACATTTTAGTTACTATTTAAAATAGGCTATAATTATGAAATATAATCCAATAAACAATAATAACAACAATATATACAACACATAACAAAAAGAGGAAAAAAGGAAAAACCTTTTACCTTAATATCTTGAGATTTAAGTTTAGATTCTTCTAAGGTAATAATAAGTGCTTCATCATCAACAGGACTGCCTTCAGATGATGTTAATCTATGTAAAATTTTGTCTTCAATTTCTTTAAGTTCTTCCTTCATTTTAGCACTATTTATAATCAACTGATTTTTTGCTTCTTCCAAGTCAGGTCTTTCTTCAGCAACTACTAATGCTAATAGTTGATCCTCCAGACCGCTTGGAGACAATGTAAAATTTACAATAGTAACTTTAGTAGAAACCTCTGGTGTATAGTGAGGATTTGGATGCTTTGTTGTTATGTAGAACTTAAATTCTTCGTGATATGGAATAACAGCATCTCCAAGTTTAATAACCATGTTTCCAGATTGTTTAAATGTCTGAAAAAGAAGAAAATTTTTTAATAAAAATTCAAGAACTTTTTCTATAATAAAATGTGTACACACAAAAAATTTCATTATCCAAATTAAAGAAAATAATAAAAGAACCAGTTTCAGAAGAACAGGCTCCAAAGAAGGATCAAGTTCTTCTCCAACATTTTCCAATAAGCATGGTTTTCCAAATCTAATGGAATTTTCTAAAGTACGAAGAAATTCTCGGTCAGAAAGTTTAACAACAGAAATTCCAGATTTTTTTTCCTAAAAAAACAACAACAAAAAACTCACAATTTCTTTTTATAAAAAGTATTTAATTATATATATAATTTTAATAAGAATTATAAACAAACAAAAAAATTACCAAATTTTTAATCCACTTGTTTGCTTGACCTTGCGGATCAATAAACAAAGGCCATCTATTGGTATACTCTACAATAATGCCATTATCAACAGAAAAATTATCTCGTGGTAGCCCACACAATTGCCAATTTCGTACTTTTACAGGCTCTCCTAAAGTACTGACCAACAAGAAATTTTTGGAAGTAAGCACATTGACTAATTCCAACTCCTTTATCCATTCATTTATTAATTGATTGCGGTATTCTCCCTAAATATATAAAAAAAATTAATCAATTTTTCAATACAACAAAATGTACCAGTACCAGTTCTCCTTGAACATTCATAAGACAATAAAAAAGCTTCAAAACTATTGATAATAAATTGAGTTGACTTTTGGAAAACAAAGCTTGTTACTGGCTGATTTAAATAAACTTAGCAACATATAAATATTTTTTCCTATTTCATTTTTTAATTATTAATTTTAGAAGTTATGAAAAAAAGTCAAAATAAAAGTAAAACTACTGTGAAAATGCCTAAGTAGGCAATTATTCCTGATGAAACCAAAATATCGCCAAGAATATTCTGAATTTTTTGGTCAAAAACAACAATAGATTCTTCCCACCTTCCTTTCTCATCACCTAATCCATTTATGAGCTAAAAAATAAAGGTAAAATTAAGTGTGAACCATCATGATTGTTATCATCATCATAATTGTTACATCATCATGATTGTTATCGTCATCATGATTGTTATCATCCTCATGATTGTCATTATCATCATGATTGTTATCATCATCATTCCTTCATTAAAAGTTACCTTTTCAGCTCTTCCTAATCTTGCAGTACATAAATTTGTTTTTTTTTCTAACTCATTTTTATTGAATATACATTCTTGGTACTTAGCTTGAAGCATAGCAACACCTTCTTCAACTAAAGCAAGCTTAGCTTTTGCTGCATTGAGAGCACGTTGAGTTTCTGCTAATTCCTCTTGTGCTTTTTCCAAGCAAGCCTAACCATAGTGTAACCATACAAAGAATTAATAAGTGATTATAATAAAGCGTGCTACAATAATCATAAAATTTTATTATTGATAACAAAATTTTGCTTCATAAAAACTTGCTAATTATAAATTCAACTCACTCGTTTTGGAGCAACTCCTTTTGCAACAAAATGATACTTATGCATTGCTCTAACCCATTGACATATAGAGGTGCAAGCCTTTGACACCTAGTAAATAAAAAAATACCATTTCATCTTTACTATATACAAAATGTTTTTAAAAAAATTACAACATATTATAAACAAAAGCTTGTTTTAAGTGAATTTATAAAAATGACTCATACTGTAAATATATTTTTTTATGTTGAAAGTAAATAAAACAAAATATATTTTATCATAACTCATAGAAGAGCTGACATGATTTTAGTTTTAAAATGTAAGTAAAGTGTTTGGTTCATATTGGATAGATATTTTCTAAACAAGTTATTTTACAAAAAAATAACACTAAGGTTGTAATATTTTTCTTCATAATGCGACAATCATATTGCTCCCTTGAATTTCTTAATCCTGGAGCATCAATAAGGGAAGCAAATTTAGTGGGTGAGGCTATCAATCCAACATATCATTTTAACTGTTTTATCATATCACTTCTGATCCTCCTCTTAGTCAGAATAGTAAGTCTTAGGGCTTCAAGTATATATTTGTATGTCAGTTTTGAAACTGAAAAAATTAATTTTCTAATTTTTTGTTGAATGCGTTTTAGAACCTGAATGTTTCTGACTTGATACAGTGACCACGATTGAATTGTGAAACCTAAATGTGGTCTAATATATGTCGTGTATAGTTAATTCTACAGATTTAAACCTCTACATTAAAATGCTTTTTTAAAAAATCCAAGTATTTGATTAGTCTTCATAGCAGCAGAATTTATTTAGCTTTAACTTTAAGATCATCCAAGATGTGTTTATTTAACTTTTATTCAATATGGGTGTCAGCTAATGCGACTTTTTGTAATTGTCATCATATATATTGTACCTGTAATTTGATTTAGTTGATCCTTGACCGATATGCATAACTTTACATTTTATTATATTAAATTTCATCTTCCTAATTCTTGACCATTCAACAGCTTTATTGATATCACCTAGTAAAAAATCCACATTTGACGGTGAGCTGATAATTTTGCTATCATCAGCATATAATTTTATATTGTTTGTCAAATTATCTGACAGGTTATTAATATACAACATAAAAAGAAAAAGTAATATAAAAATTATTTAAAAGTTGGAACAATACATATTATTTCAGAAATATGGAAAAAAATATGCTTAAACTATAATTCAACATTACTTGTGAAATCTTTAGTTGACAACAAATATCCTTTCTTGGTGTTAAGTTAATATATATATATATATATATATATATATATATATATATATATATATATATATATATATATATATATATATATATATATATGTATTAACTTAACACCAAGTACATTGTTTTCAAACCTGGAGTCCAGGAGTCCTTGCCGCCAATTATATCTAAGGACTCCAGGTTAAAAATTGATTGTTCCTTAAAGTCTTAATTTTTTTCTCCAAAAGTACACCATAAACTTCTTTACATATTTAAAACCAGGAAGAAATAATATTTTTTGACTTTAAAATCTGGATATATATATATATATATATATATATATATATATATATATATATATATATATATATATATATATATATATATATATATATATATATATATATATATATATATATATATATATATATATATATATATATATATATATATATATTACCAAAACTTCTTTTCAGCACAAAATGTGATATTACTTTTAAAAATGAGACAAATTTTTTAATTTTTTAATTTTTTTTTGAGTTTACATGCATTCTTTTTGTATTTTAAACATTTAAATTAAAAAATTTGTCTTATTTTTAAAAGTAATATATATATATATATATATATATATATATATATATATATATATATATATATATATATATATATATATATATATATATATACATATATATATATATATATATATATATATATATATATATATATATATATATATATATATATATATATATATATATATATATATTATATATATATATAGTCTTGTATAGTAGTCGAAAAAGTTTCTTCAATAAACTGTTGTTTTAAAGAGAGCGCTAATAAACCAGACCAGAAAAAGTTTAAAAACTTAAACAATTTTTTTCTTAAATGATAGACTGCCTGCCCCAACCAAACCCTCAGTTGATGTAGCATTACTCTGTTGAGAGTCAGGCTATAATATAGTCAATGTAGCAACACTCTTTGGCGAGTCAGGCTATAAGATAGTCAATGTAGCAACACTCCCTTGTAGCAGCAGGCTAAAAGATAGTCGATGTAGCAACACTAAGCGCATGTTTAAAAAAAATGTTTTTAAAAAACAAAAACAAAAACAGTATTAACTTAATTGTTTTAAATTTTTGGCTACAATAAAATGTAGCTTAATTGTCGGGGTAGCAAAATTATTGTTAAAAGAGACTTTTTTTACATTAAAAGTCTTTTTCGACTATAAAGACTATAAAGACATAAGGGTGTATATATATAAATATATATATATATATATATATATATATATATATATATATATATATATATATATATATATATATATATATATATATATATTCCTGATACATTTATATACATTCCTGATATATTTTTATATATTCCTGATATATTTATATATAATTCTGATATATTTGTATATATCCCTGATATATTTATATATTTCTCTGATATATTTGTATATGTCCCTGAACACATGTGTATCAGGGACATATACAAATTTCAATTTCCTAATTAGTTAGTATGAAGTCTGCCTCATTTTAGCAGTTACTTGGTTAATGAAAAGCATTGATTGTTCTCATAAAAAGTGCTTGTCCACCCTTTTTTAAGCTTACGTAAAATAACTTTATATTTCTTTTTATAAGATTTATTAAATATTATTTTTCATATTAATTTGCTTTACACCTTCCACAGCCTCTATTTCATTTAAATTTAATTACAACCACTCTTTTAACATTAGGTATTTTTTAATTTTCATTCAAAAAAAGCTTTAAAATAAAATGCTTTATTAAAATAAATAATTAAAAAAGTAAGCTCAAGGATTAAAAATAATTCATAAATTTCCCAAATGCAGTTTAAGATATAAAAAAAACTTGAAACTAAAAAAGTACTTTTCGGAGCTAAAAATTATTACAGCTTCAAGCAAGACCAAGCTTTTAAAGACTATTCTAGATAGTAATGGATTTGATTCATCATAGTGTTTAACTTAAATATATTTTTTTCAACCTTGAATTTATATTTAGGTTGAAAAGTAAATTTTGCAACTCTGATCAGCAGACTAATAGAATGCTAAGAAATTTTAGAGCTTACATTCTTTTTGTATTTTAAACATTAAATTAAATAAAGTAAGGGCTAAGAAATAAATTTTTAGGTTGAAAGAAGGGTTTTACTACTCTTATCTATGGACTACTAGAACACTGATGGATATTTTAGATAACTGATCTATTATTATTTAGTTTTTTTTTGTGCTGACATTATACTAAGGCCATATTATACCTTTCCAATTTAAATAGGAATAAAAAGTAATAATAAAATAACGTTTTACATTTAAATGATTTTAATTCTCTCAAAATACATATATATATATATATATATATATATATATATATATATATATATATATATATATATATATATATATATACACATATATATATATATATATACACATATATATATATATATATATATATATATATATATATATATATATATATACATATTAAAAAATTTACATATATTTGCTAATTATTAAACTTTCAATAGTGAAAGAACATTGTCTGGTAGTTTTTTGAGGTGAGTGAATAATCACAAATTTCATAAGTACAAACTGGCATATGTGTGAAATGGTGTATGTGCGAACTGGCATAAGTGCAAAGTAGTTTCAAAAACTGACATAAAAACACCAAAAGAATATGCAAACATTGGCATAAGTGGGAACTGTGATAAGTGCAAATCAGTTACAAAAACTGACACAAGTGCAAACTGGCATAAGTGCAAACTGGCATAACCAAAAGTACTTTCAAACATTGGTATAAGTGTGAATCGGCATAAGCACAAACTTTTATAAGCGCGAATCAGTTGCAAAAACTGGCACAAGTAAGAATGGGCATAAGTACAAACTGGCATAAATGTGCCAAAAGAACATGTGAACATTGATATAAGTGCAAACTGGCATAAGTGCAAAGCAGTTGCAAAAACTGGCATTAGTGCAAAGCATACATAGGGATTCGCACTTATGCCAATTCACATTTATGCCAATGTTTGCATATTCTTTACAAATTCTTTCGGCACACTTATGCCAATTTGCACTCCTGCTAATTCACACTTATGCCAATATTTGCAATTTTATGTGGCACACATATGCCAATTCGCACTTACGCCAGTTTTTTTAACTGCTTCTCACATATACTAGTTCGCACTTTTGCAAATGAGCTCTTTTACCAGTTTGCATAATTCACACTTATGCCAATGTGTACAAAATCTTTTTGAACTTACACCGAGACAAATATATTCCGGTACAACCCAGTGTTAACGATTTCCCGTTATTTTATCAATTTATTGTTTATAAAAAAATATTTAAAAGTACTGGTATGTTATCTAATTGTAAAATGTGCAATCCAAGCTCACCAGACTGCAATCCACTTGATTATTTTGTATGGTCTTATCGTAACAATTATAAGTTTTCAAATTTAAGGCAATTTAAGAAAGTTATTAGCAAAATTTGGAATAAAATGCCTTTGGAAACTGTGCGTGCCGTCTGCACTGATTTTAAAAGAAGATTGAAGCTGGTCATCAATGTTAAAGGGGATTTTATTCCAAAACATTTACTATAACTTATTAAATATTATGTCAACTTTAAACTCTAAATAAAGTTTTTTGAAATATTGTTTTAAAAAAAAGATATACATATTTTTGCTGGTACCAAAATATATTTGTCACAGTGTATACCAGTTTGGGCTTATGCCAGTTTTTGCAACTGCTTCGCACTTATGCTAGTTCACACTTATTCCAATGTTGGGATATTCTTTTGGCATACTTGAGTTAATACAAACTTATGCCAGTTTTTGCAACCGCTTGACACTTATGTCCATGTTTGCATATTCTTTTGGTGCACTTTGGCACAGTGGTGTTTCAGCAATAGTTTTAAATTACGTCAGGGTTAATATCATGACCAGAACATATCAGTCTTTCTACAAGTTCTTTATCCATGCCAATGATATTAGTAAAAAATTTTGAACCTTCAAGTGATCTTCTTGTAGTATTGTCATCATTTGTGTTCCCAAATCCTGGTATGGGTTGGTCTATTACAAGGCTCAATTCTTTTCATTTCTTTTGTTGAATTTTTTTTTTTGGTCATAATTAATTTCTCATCAGTTATCTTTGCCCAAAATTTCTGAATGGCTATTTCACATCCCATATGTAAAAGTTATTTAAGTCCAGTAGTGAAAAGAACTTAGTCTAAGGTGTAATGTCTTTTCATCACAATCCCAGAGCCTTATCTTATTAACATTATTTATTTGGGAAAGTTTTGTCCCGCAAACATTATAGAATTGAGTGGAATTATTAATTATTAGAGCATTTGCTACCTTCCTATCAAACATAGTCAATCATATAGTTGATTTTGTGGGTAGCCTTTCCTGCTTCAATCAAACATTGTTAAAGATTTAAAACTCAGATCTTACCCTTTCCACGTCCTTGACACAAAGCAACTAGGACTGTCTGTACCCAAGGTTAACTGGTTGGTAAAAGTGGGTACTTGATGGTCTTTTGCTTAATTAAATTGTTAGGTTGTTTTTTTTACTTTTATTTTAATGTAAATAAAAATTATTATCAAAACTTCATAAAATCTTTAGGAAAGCAGGTTACAAGGCTGTTTTTAAACTAAGCGCAAATCTTAATGTTTTACTCACCCAACAAAACCATAGTCAAAAAGATATCCTGGTGTATACCTATTAGAGTGCAAGTGTAAAAAAAAACAAATTGGCAAAACAAAAATAAAAATAGGAAAAAAAAAGCAACACCAAAATTATGTACTAAAAGAAAAATTGAATCAATCAATTGGAAATTAAAAATAAATAATAAAAGTGTTGTTACAACTTTATATATTTTCTAAAGTCGATTAAAATCAACTAATACATTTTTGAAATTGGCTAAGTTGTCTAAAAGTTGATTTAGCTGAATAATGGAAATAAATTTTTTTTGTTGAAATAAATTGTATTAAAAATAATAAAGTAATTTAAATTCGTTTACTATTTTTCAACAAAACATCATTTAAAAAATAATGGACCAAAAAAAAAAGAGAGCAGGGAAATTCCAACAATGAGATAATTTATTTCCAGACTTTAATGATTTAGGGACTGCCGTAAATACTTATTAAATATCAAAAGGTCTATCTAATCATATTTACTATGTCATTGTATAGATGACATCTAGATTTCAGAGCTTCACAATTTAATTTTGCCCCAGGGCCCACAATTTAATTTTGCCCCAGAGTCAGCTTGGAACAGGCCTGTATGAAAACATTTATGAAAATCACAAGCATAGCTTAAACATTAAAAAAAAAATGAAATGCATAACCGAATGTTTAATTAAGTATAAATATTGCTAACTTGCTATAAATTTTATAAAACCTAAAAAGAATGTACAAAAAACAGTATAGAATAGTTATAGTAGTACATGTTATTCTTATCAAATGAACAAAAGGTAAAAATTGAAAAATTTAAATTTAATATAAAGATATAAGGATTTTAAGTTTATAACTCAAATCGACTTTTAGTTGATTAGTATGAAAACCCATAGTTGATTGAACTGACTGTTCAATTTTTAAAAGTTGTCTAATTAATAAAATAAAAAATTTGAAACAAAAGTTTGATCATTCAATTTAATAAATGTGGATCCAAATGGAGGAATGAATCTAGACAACAATCAGTATATCAAAATGCAATTCTGGACGCCATATTTTTTATACTTATGCAATCAAAAAAATTATATATAAGACATTTCCATTTCTGTGACATATTACTAGACATATTTTCAACTTGATTGTGTGACAATTGTGTGTATATATTTATGAAATATGTGAAATGCAATTAAAGATTGTTGCAACTCTATGTAACCCTGTAACTTTCTAAAAATCTTTACTAATATAAAAAATATTATTAAAAAAAAAAAAAACTACTGGTAAAATTTATATTTTAAGAGAAATTAAATTTCATTTATCAAGTAAAGCACATTTGCATTTTTAAGTTCTATAAAATTCCATTTTAAATCTAATATATTTTTTAATAACATTACTAATGAATACCATTTCTTGTTTACAAAGTATTTATATAGATTATCTAATCTATATAAATACTTTGTAAACAAGAAATGGTATTCATTAGTAATGTTATTAAAAAATATATTAGATTTAAAATGGAATTTTATAGAACTTAAAAATGCAAATGTGCTTTACTTGATAAATGAAATTTAATTTCTTTTCTTTAATTTATTTTCATAATAATAAAATTAGCAATTTCTAGTTTAATCTTATTTAATTCTAGAATTAAATGAGAGTAAACTAGAAATTGCTAATTTTATTATTATGAAAGTAATAAGCAAAATACATACATGTTTTTGTGCCTGTTTTTTTGGAAATGCCTTATATATAACCTAGTAATTTTTGGACAAAAATCTAAACTTAGCCTTGCATAGAACATCATTAACAACATCGTATTGAAATTAGGCTACAGTACATAAATTGAGGATCTTTGACAATACTTTGTTTTTTCTGAAAAAACTGTTTTGATATAAATAGGCATTTTTAAACTTTAAGTGTGCAAAACATATTAGGGACAGTGCTGATCTAAATACACTAGGATAATATATATATATATATATATATATATATATATATATATATATATATATATATATATATATATATATATACATATATATATATATATATATATATATATACATACATACATACATACATACATACATACATACATACATACATACATACATATATATATATATATATATATATATATATATATATATATATATATATATATATATATATATATATATATACACACACTCTTGCATGGTAGTTAAAAAGAGTTTCCCATAAACTGTAGTTTTAAAGAGCGTGTTAATAAACCAGACCAGAAAAAGTTTAAAAACTTAATTTTTTTTTTTTTTTTTAAAATGATAGACTGCCTGCCCAAACCAAACCCTCAGTCGATGTAGCAGCACTCACTTGCGAGTCAGGCTATTTGTCAGTCGATGTAGCAGCACTCCCTTGCGAGTCAGGCTATTTGTCAGTTGATGTAGCAGCACTCCGTTGCGAGTCAGGCTATAACATAGTCGATGTAGCAACATTTACGCATGTTTTAAAAATGTTTTTTAATAAAACAAAAACAAAAACACTACTAATTAAAAAAAACTTTCTAGTCGTTATTATTGCGGTTTTTTAAAAAATTTTTAAAAAACAATAAAATTTAATGTACTTCCGCATTAATTTAATTGCTTTGACATTTCGACGACAATCAAATACAGCTTAAGAGAAAAGGTAATTAAAATTGTAGTCGAAAGAGACTTTTTTTACATTAAAAGACTCTTTTGACTACACTATAAGGATATATATATATATATATATATATATATATATATATATATATATATATATATATATATATATATATATATATATATATATGTATATATATATATATATATATATATATATATATATATATATATGTATATATAATCTTATATATATATATATATATATATATATATATATATATATATATATATATATATATATATATATATATATATATATATCTTCTAATGATGATCTTCTAATGATGCTCTTTCTCTTTTAGACAAGGTGCAAAAACGAATTGTAAACATAGTTGGACCTGCTCTGGCAGCCAATCTCCAACCTTTGTCACATCGTCGTAATGTTGCTTCTCTTTCTCTTTTCTACAAATACTATAATGGGCACTGCTCTAAAGAGCTAGCGTCCCTTGTGCCATCTACTAAAATTCATTCTCGTGTTACTCGCCATTCAATTAAGTCTCATCCTTTTTCTGTGACTGTTCCTAAGTGCTTCAAAAACTCTTATTCTTCTAGTTTTTTTCCTCGCACATCAGTTCTTTGGAATTCGCTTCCTTCATCTTGCTTTCCTGATTCATATAATTTGCAATCTTTTAAGTCATCAGTCAATCGTTATCTTGCTCTACAGATTTAGTCTTTTCTCTTCCAGTAACTTCCAACTCTTATAGTGGTTGCTTGCAGCCTTGTTGGAAGTGAAGATGTTAAAAAAAAAAAAAAAAAATAAGATTATAAATATATATATATATATATATATATATATATATATATATATATATATATATATATATATATATATAATCTTATATATATATATATATATATATATATATATATATATATATATATATATATATATATATATATAATCTTATATACATATATATATATATATATATATATATATATATATATATATATATATATATATATATATATATATATATATATATATATATATATATATAAGATTATATATATATATATATATATATATATATACTATTTATTAAATGTTTATATATATAGCTGTACTAGACAAACCTTTGCTATTGCTTCAGGCTGAAAGTTATCATCATCAATATATCCTTGAATGTTTTGGATGACTGAATCAGGGATGTTTCCTTTATCATACTGAAATAATGTATCTAAAAACTTTCCAGGATCTTGGAGTAAAGTTCGTGCTGCTTCCATGTAATCATCCACTTTACTGCCAACCTATAAATCGTAAGCTTGCAAAGTTTCAAAAATAAAAAACTTTGAAGAAAAACAAAATTTTGATTGAAAAAAAACCTTTTCTCCTGCAACTTTTTTTGGCTTTAAACCTTTCATTATGCAAACAGCTTCCATAACCATTTTTACACCAAGTGGAGGGCGTTGCATAGCACGTACCTAATACAAGGAATACTTTATATTTTAACAATAATATTACAACATCGTAGCAACAGGTGCAAAGTGGAACATAGAATTCTTGACTAATGACTGAAGTCTCTTTTGTGAAAGTACTTGTCTTTTGTGAGCAGGGATGTTTTAAGATTGTACCCAACAGATATTCAGAAGCGCTACAATTAACTTTTTTGTGGAAAAACTCATATAAAAAGACACATTTTTTAACAAAATTGAGCTGAAAGAGAAGTCAAAATAAATATCTGCTACTAAATTTTCTTATTAGATGAAAGCTTGATTAAAGCTTTTTGATTTGAATAATAAAGCATAAAATGATTTTACATTCATACCTCAACAACATCATTTCTATTCAGTGATTTTAAACTTTGTAAGGCTGCTTCCTTTAAATAAAATAAAAAGGAAATTAAACAAAATAAAATATTTTTTAATAAATTTAAAAATAAACATTTTTTATACATCTTAAATAAACTAACCAATGCAGGTATTGCTTCATTTAAGTCTCGTTGTGCATCATCAGCAATTGTTTTAGTTTCTTCTGCCTTTTTTGCTGCCTCTTGTTCTTCTTTTTGAACAACCACTTTGGTTTCATTTGCTGTAATCTAAATCAAAGTACAAAATTTTATTATCATATCAGGGCTTAAAGAATGTCTTTACCCCCTGATGAGGATTTAAAAGTAATTAAAGGTCTGAAGCTGAAATAAAAAAAAAGTTATCAACTATTGATATTGATAAAAATTATCAACTATTGGATTTTTGTCTTGATGTGCATTTAATACAAAAATGATTTAAAAGAATGTAAAAGCAACTAAACCTGCATGTCTTTAACTCCCTGATGAGGATTTAAAAGTAATGATACTTATGAAATTTACTTAAGAATAAAAAACAAACAAGAACATATCTTGATGAAACATAAATTTAAGAAACACAAAGAAAAATTATAAAAATTGACATAAAATAAAATTTATCTCTTTATGTTTCATTTTTTGTTTCTCTTTCTAGAACAGCTTTTTTATTTCCATTATTTAAAATCTCTTACGTCTTTTTATGGTATATAGTTCTTTGACACATTATGCTTTGACAGATTTGAGTCTTAATTTGCTTAAAGGATTGTGATCAGCTTTAAAAAAGCTTTATATTTATAATAATTATATCATTTAATTATTTCATAGACAGTGAAGTGAGGCCACAACATTGAAGTGAGCTTTATATAATGACAATAAATGCTTATTTAGACATTCTTTAATATAAATTTTTCTTTGTTAAAGGTGCCATATAAAATAAATGATTTGTGTATCAACCACAAGATGGCTTATCATACAATCTATACAGATGGATTGTCATACAGTCTGTATTTTGGCAAATTTGATGAAGCATTTCTACTTGAACTTACTTGATGCCAACCCTCATAAATCAATAACATTGTGTAACAAATTTTCACTTTTGTTCTGTTACTGGATTGAAAAGTGTGTTTTTCTAGCCTGTTAGGTCTAGAAAAAAAAGGAAATTGCTAAAAAACTTTGCTTTTGTGACCAGAAAAATAAAATTTGCAAAAATCGTGTGTTCTTAAGAAAATTCTAGATTTATATTCAATGCCGAGCTTTTTCCTATAACATTCTTGAACTGCTAGAGTTGTTAAAATGTTTAAGAAACATCCAGAGGATTTGGGAAACTCTCGTAACTTTCTAGAACATTCTTGAATATTCTAAAAGTAGCTGCACAAGTATAAAAGCACAGGTGTCTTGAACCGAGATTCCAATTCGTGCCATTGCAGACTGAAAGAATAAGGATTTATAGTTAAAGAGAAATTATTTATTTTATATGGCATCAAGAGCTGGTTTGCTTCCAGCTGATTTATTCTGCAATGTGTGTGGACAATTATGCAGAAGAGAAACAACACACAACTAAGAATGGATGCTTGTGGTACCCCAAGTTACTTGAAATGAATCAGAGTGTTGCCATCAATGACAACTTTAAAACTGCAGTTAGAAAAGAATGATTCAACAAAATTAAAAAACATTTTTCATATACATCATATAAAGCAAGCTAATGAAAATGAGAAGCATGCTAGTCTTCATCAAAAGTTTGATATGTCAAAAACAATAGCTCTAGCCTTAACACTTCCATAACAAGCCAACAATAGAGCGAGATAATAGAAATCCAATAGAAAACTTTCAGAGAGTTATTAGACTCAAGATGAGTTATTAGAAATTTGTTAATGATTCAAAAATTTTTAATGATAGTGAGAAAACTGATTGAGCAATAGTTAGAGGGGTAGAGCAACCATTAGAGATTTTAAAATGGAACGACAGATTCTATTTTCAAGCATCCAACAAAAAAAGTTTCATTTAACACTTTTTATGTAGTTTAAAGAGTAATGAAGTTGTGGAGAAAACTATTGTAAAAGGTTTTAGGTTTCAGGAATGTTGTCTGAACTACAAGTCGTGGAGGAGTGAGAGATAACTTGAGCAATAAAAACAGGATTTGAATATTTAACAGTAGATTGTTTTTCTGAGATGACAGGAAGAGTATGGCCAATAGATTTAAGACATGTATTAAAGAAAAAGTTCTTTGTAAACAGCTTTGCCTTATTCTTGGGAAAGGTAACAAAACCCATGTATGAGAATGTTATCCTTGGGAAAGGTAACAAGATCCATGTATGTGTTAAAATTTTCTTAGTTAATGTCTTTAAAACCTTACTTTTTAGGTATAACCTGAGAATAATTAATCTTAGGATCATTCATTAGCTTTTTGTATCAATTTTTTACAATAATAAAATGTTTATTCTTCAGTTATTTTTGTGGAGAAAATGTAAAAAACGATAACAGAATATAATAGTACAAAAATGATAAAACCATGGAGTGATGCTTGAGTTGAAACCAATAAAAAAGAATAAAAGTTTCCAAACCTACCTAAAACAGAAATTATAAAGTAGGCACAACTTTTAGTAGAGACACTATGGAAGTTACCTCAAGGATCATCACAAAGAAAATCACAAAAATAATCCCAGTCAGTCTTATGGTTATATTAGGAAGTGCAATTATAGGATAAATTTGTAAAAAAATGCAAGATATTTTAGTAAAATCATTGACGATCTGAACCAATTAAAAGAGAATAAGTAAAAACTGTACGCAAGTTGGATCAGACACAAATCAAGGAGTGAGGGAAGGCAAATAGGGTTGTCTGGATAACAAGTCAGAAAAAAACTATCTGATTAAGGGATTGAGAAAGTCAGAAAATTTGAGCTCAGCAGGGACAGTATTACTAGAGTCATTTAGTGTGATGACCATTAAAGTCTTTAATAACAACAATATTGGCAAAATTAAAAAAAAAAAATTTTTAATGAAAAAAACCATAAAAATAAATATACAAATCAAAACAGTTTTTTAACAAATCATTTTTTTGTAATTTGATGAAAAACTATAACTTTTAACATTTAACTGTCAAAATATTCATCTTAACAAAATATCTTTAAAAGACAAAGTTTATAAGCAAAACTACCGTGTCTACTGCAATTTGACGCATGGTTTCCTCAGTATCAAGTGTGGCCTGTATAAATAACGGTTGCATTGTTTCCAACTCTTCTTGTAGTTTTGTAACTTCAATTTGAGTGCTTAACAACTAAAATGTGCATAGATTACAATTAGCACAAAAAATCAAAAAAAAAAACACCATAAATAATAATAGCTTTTTGAAAATGTTAATGATTCAATAGAATATACTTTTTCCAAACCGTTAATTGTTCTGTTTTTTGCTTGAAAAATCTTATTCTTTTTAACAGATAAGATACTTTTGAAGGTTTTCAATAACTCTAAGTAACTGGTTGGAGTTACATAATTATGTCGTGATAGTTCAATTAAATATTGAGAAGATTTCTTTAAAACAGACTGGTGAATTTTTCCAAACAGTTTTACCTACAAATAGAGGTAACAAAATCTTGAACTTTTTAAATAAAAGTGTATAACTACATGCATTCATAAATACATAGATACATACATGCATACATTCATACATGCTTACATCCACTCATCCATTCATCCATCCATCCCTACATACATACATACATACATACATACATACATACATACATACATACATACATACATACATACATACATACATACATACATACATACATACATAAATGCATACATACATAAATACATACATTGACTTGGCAAAATACCAAAATTTTTTAATTTGTCTTAAGAGAAAAATAATTTTGAAAAATTTTGCTGAAAAACACTTTAAATCAGCAAGATTCAAATAATTTTTTTGTTTAGACATATTTTTCTAAGTAATGCTACTGAAAAGTGAGTATTAAAATAAATTTTACAAAACAATCATTGTTGTTTTGTAGATTGTTCAAATATATTAAGTTATAAAAAAGTTGGGTTAATAAGATAATGTAAGTAACAAGATATTAAAAATAATTAAAAATTGAAGAAATTAAGTATTTTAATAAAAAATTCAAAATTAATCATACATGAGGCAACATGTCAACTTGTAAGGAATTAACCTTTGCTCAATAAATTTTTTAATAACAATGTTTTGAAATGCTTAACAAAAAATGCTTTAAAAAAAAAAAAAAAATGTCAAAGCTACATTCATGCAACAAAATGAGAAAAGGTGCACGTGTTTATCAATTATTGTTCAATGTCACTTCTGAAGAGAAAAAGACATCAAAACTTGAAATTTTAGTTTTAAATGATCTAATTGAAGCTGAACAAATTGCATCATCATTCATTGCCACACAGGAAAGATCACCTTATGGTACCATAAGACTCAGCCAGGCGACTAGTGGTAAACAGTTTACAGCAACTCCAGATATCAGACTTTATTGAAAAGTTCTATATATATAAGTTTGTGTTTCTATAAAACTGTAAAAATTACAAATTTAAAAAAAATTAGTTTATAAATAAAGCAACTTTTTGATTTTCTCAGGACAGCCAAAAACACTGTTTTCTTTGGCAAATACTTTTGAAACCTGAGACATGCTCAATGTTCAGCTTAACATCATTCTTTCTAACATCATTCTTTCTAACATCATTCTTTATAAGGAAATTAAGATAAACTTTGAAAAAGTAGATACCAATTTTTATGGAAGATCATTGTTGAGTTCCAGGATCTTAAAAAAACATTAAGGATTTAATCAACACAAATGATGTTAGGTTTAAAGTTTCATGTGGTCTTAAAATTGATAGCATTTTGTGTGGAAATCATAATTCAAGTTAAGAGAAAAACACTTTTACTTAAATTTACTAAATAAAGACGTTTCTTTTTAAAATTTAAAAAAATTGAATATGTACCTTGGACAAAATTAAAAGGTTTTGATATTTTTAAAATTAATCAAACATACCATATGTATACATCCATACCCTCGAAAGGGTTTTCTTGGAAATGTTAAAGACTGTGTTATATAAATACCATATATATATATATATATATATATATATATATATATATATATATATATATATATATATTTATATATATATATATATATATATATATATATATATATATATATATATATATATATATATACATATATATATATATATATATATATATATATATATATATATATATATATATATATATATATATATATATATATATATATATATATATATATACAAAAGTTAAATAAAAATCATCCATTAAATTACAAAAAAAAAATTAATTTAAATATATATATATATATATATATATATATATATATATATATATATATATATACACATATATATATATACACATACATACATACATACATACATACATACATACATACATACATACATACATATATATATATATATATATATATATATATATATATATATATATATATATACACATATATATATATACACATACATACATACATACATACATACATATGTATATATACATATATATATATATATATATATATATATATATATATATATATATATATATATATATATATATATAATTATATACAAAAGTTAAATAAAAATCATCCATTGAATTACAAAAAAAAAGTTAATTTAAATACATATATATATATATATATACATACATACATACATACATACATACAAATATACATACATACATACATACATATATATATATATATATATATATATATATATATATATATATATATATATATATATATATATATATATATATATATATATATACTTATTTAAGTAAACTTTTATTTTTTATTGGAAAAAGTTATACCAAGCTTGCGATACTTGTTTGGTCAACCTCTGCCATTTCAGAGATAAAAGTTTCAGCAACAGATACAAGTGCTTGCTCTGGCCATTCTGAAAACCAATCTATTGTGCAGCAGGTTACTAATGATGGAAACTGGCGTAACCGTGCACGAAATACTTCTCCAATAGGACTAAATCATAACTTATTTAAGAAAATAATTTTACCAAAATTATGAGAAAAAAATCTAAACATTTATTACTATTCTTAGATATTGATTAGAATAAAAAAATTAAACTTTAACTTTAAAATAATAATTGAATCATACAAAAATAAAAAATAACAACTTAAACAAATGAAACTTTAATCTTTTTTTTGATAAAAAAATATTTTAATAAAGTATTAAACTAAAATATTAGTTCTTATTTTTAATTTTATTTCTTATTTTTAATAAAAATAAGAACTAAAATGGGTTTTTAAATATAAAAAACATAACCCAAAAAAGTTTTTTAAAACAAGCGATCATCAATTTTTTACTTTAAATCACAAGTAAAACATGATTTCTGCGCAACTATATATGATGTCTAATCTTTTTGTTTTCGATTAAATATCTTACCAAGTTTGTGACCAACCGGAAAGTGCAAGTCTACCATGTTCAAAAAACAACTGCCTATTTTTATTGCTATTTTAGTGCATGTTTTTCCCTATTCTTTACCGTGACTATAAAATATCCTGTGATTGTGCAAATTATATATATATATATATATATATATATATATATATATATATATATATATATATATATATTAAGGTGGCCATTAACTTTTTTATTAAATGTCTGCTCTCACCCGTTATATGAGTTCTATATAATAAAATAATAATAGAATTAAAAATTATTGATTAAAAATTTTTTTTTAAGGGTAGCTCAAGACCCTTAAACATCAGACCAGTACTTATAATTATCGAAAAAATAGTTCTTCAAAAGTATATCAGGTTGGGTCTGAAAAGAAGCGAAATTATATAAAAATTTTAAAAACAATCATCATGGACCAGGACAAAGCATGGGTACCTCATGTTATTTGTAAACTTTGTGAAGTAACTCTTGGCAAGTGGTTTAAAGGTAAAGTGAAAAGTATGCGAATTGGTGTGCCCATGATTTGGCGTGAGCCTTCGAATCATGTGACAGACTGCTATTCTTGCATGACAAATGTTGTTGGATTCAACAAAACAAGCAGACACAAAATTCTATATTCCAATGTACCGTCAGCCCTGAGGCCTGTAGAACACTGTGAAGACATTCCTGTGCCCACTCCTTTTACTAAGCTAGATGATATTGAAAGTGATAACAACTCAAGTTCTGAAGACAGTAGTGATATTCTTAATCCTGATTTTAATGCAGATATCACACCAAAACTTTTTCTCAGGAAGATCTTGATGATCTAGTTCAAGATCTTAACCTTCGAAAGTCATCAGCTGAACTGCTTGCATCCTGTTTACAAGAACAAAACTTTTTCACTCCAGTTACTAGCATAAATGTGTACAGATATCGTGAGACAGAATTTGTACAGTTTTTTTCAAGTAAGCAAAAATTGTTATATTGTAATAATATTGAAGGCCTTGTCACATCTACAGGAATTGCTTACAATGCTAATCAGAGGAGATGTTTATTGACTCATCAAAGTGCAGTATGAAGGCAGTCCTTCTATTTAATGGAAACAAAGTATCATTACTTCCAGTGACATACTCGGTAACACTAAAAGAGACATATGAAAACATGAAACTGTTGCTCAGTTTGTTGAATTATGACCAGCACATATGGTTGATATGTGGAGATTTGAAGGTCATAGCCATCATATTAGGACTCCAAGAAGGATATTCAAAATTTCCATGTTTTTTTTGCCTCTGGGAGAGCAGAGCAGACACTGAGCATTATTCCAAAAAATTGTGGCTAGCGAGAAAAGGATTCACTCCAGGAAGTCACAGTATCAAGTTACAGCTTTTGGTAGAAGCACATTGAGTTCTCCTCCCTCCACTCCATATAAAATTGGGGTTAATGAAATCTTTTGTCAAGAATATGGACCATACTGACTCTGGATTTTAATATTTGTAAGACAAACTTCCACATCTAAGTGAAGCAAAAATAACTGCAGGTATTTTTGTTGGACCGCAGATCAGAGAAGTAATGAATATTGAGGAGTTTTTAACTGAATTGGCCACAGTTGAATTGCAAGCCTGGAATACCTTCAAAGATGTTGTCATCAATTTCTTAGGAAACTTTAACAATTACAGAAATCTTGTTGAAAACATGGTAGCCAAATTACAGGCTTTGGGTTGCAGCAAGAGTGTTAAGTTGCACTTTTTAGACTCCCATCTTGACTACTTTCCTGAAAGTTTGGTGCATAGAGTGAAAAGCAGGGTGAAAGGTTCCATCAGGACATTTGTGCAATTGAGAGTCGATACCAAAGTTGTTGGAATGTGAATATGATGGCCGACTGCTGGTCATTAAAATGCCATAATCCTGGTGCTGCTTATAAGCAAAATCACTCAAAAGACAATTCATACAGTAGAAGACAATACATAAATGTATATCTGCTTTTATATTATGCTTTTCTTATTAATTTTGTAAATACCAATATTTTTCTGCATGACCAAAGTACATTTTGTTGCTGGTTTTATTGAATTTATTCTCACTAACAAATGTCAAACTGCAAAAAATCCTGACGTGATACAAAAAATTGAATTACATATTTGGAATCAGCATAAAAAGTTGTGTATGAAACACCTACTTGCATATCAGCAGTTTTCACAAAATGAAAATTTGTAGACCAGTGTAATACTACCATTGATTCTTGTCTTAATAAGAAACCAACACTCTCTAATTGATTGGAGAGGACATTTAAGCTTGAAAATGAACTTAGTTCTGCTACAGCATTGGGCTGTCAGTGGCTGGTAAACTTTAACTCAGATAAAACTCAATTTTTTCAGCTAATCTTTATTGCAACTCTAGCTCTTCTTTATAAATGATAATGCACTTGACGAATCATCAACCCTTCACCTTCTAGGATTAACTTCCGATCTTTCTTGGAAATTATTCATCAAATCCATTGCAAAGTCAGCATCTGCTAAGGTTGCATCTCTTTATCTTTCTTAACACTTAAGTCTCATTCATATAGTTTACAATCTTTCAAGTTGTTTGTTAATCGTTACTTCGCTTTGTAAACTTCATCTTTTCTCTTCTTGTAACTTTCAACTCTTATAGTGGTTGCTTGCAACCTTGTTGGAAGTGATGTTTAAAAAAAAATTAAGCTTAAAAAATAACCTCATACTTAAGTATTTTCAAAAAGTTGGAATTCGCATGATGAGAGAGAGAGAGAGAGAGAGCAGAATGGTTAAATCGTGGTTAAAGTGATTACAGAGTCACAAGCACCTCTGTAATTTGTCAAAAGTTAGTTTGTAATATGTCAATTATGACTTAAACAAACACAAAAGATCTTATATTTCTGTATAAATACACAAGCTCTAATGCTATTTTACAAAGATAAAGGTTTACAATAAACAAAAGAAACACAAAGGGTTTTCAACAAACATATACTAGAAAAAAAAAGACTAATTTTATTTGCTTTTATATGAACTTATGTAATAAAATTAACTTTTTTGTCTAAAAACTTCATATCATATGATATGACGTTTTTAGGTCATAAATCTTTTACCTCATGCAAATGACAATGTGTATGTTAAAGCGTACTCTATTTGTATAAGACATAAATAGATTAGCTTTGGTTGGTACAAGACCTTGATCTTGTACTACAGAGTCCATTGATAAAAAAATAGAGTCCAACTCTTCAGATGAATATATATTTGGAACATCACCAGCATTTAAAATATTGTTGATGTCTTCCAGAAATATTTCACTCTTTATCTAAAAGGAAGAAAAACTTCATTAACATTTTTTAAAAGCAAAATATTATGTTTAAAAAAAAAATCATTATTCATACTTGAGTATCTGCAAAAAGAAAAACAATTGGCTTGTTTTCAATACCAGCCTTCATAAGCAACTTTTTAATATCTTCACGCCATTCAGGTATTCCATAACTTTTTGATAACTCAATTTGGAACAAGTCATACTCAGCCCTATAGATAACTCATATTGTACTGACAATTTAACTTTATTAAAACTAAAAAAAATATTTTAGAATTTATAAATAACAATATGTATCCTCACATGTGTGCTGCCAAACGAGTTAAGCTTTGTCTGCCACTACCAGCAACTCCAAGAAGCAAAGCATTACCAAAAGGCTGACGTATTATACGTGATATTCGTGAAATATGTTGTATTGCATCAGTAAATAGAACCAGTTTCATTTGCGGAATATTTATTTGGTTATAATCATCTAAATAATCTTCTAGAACTTGCTGAAGCTGTTAAAAAAAAAGTAAACAGACCTCAGTGAAAAACCTGGAATTGTTAAAAAAAATTTTCCTAAGATATTTAATAAACTTAAATTCTCATTTAGACTTACTTAGATATAAACTTAAATCATGCAACCCACTTGCGCATAATTAAATTTCGGAAAAAATTTGTATTGATGTTATAATAAATCAGCTTTATGTAAACCATTTTAAAACTTATTTTCAAAAACCAGAACATGAGACAATTTTTTTTTAAACCTAATAAGAGAATAAAGACTAACTTCTTGAGTTTTTCTGTTTTTAAGTATTTAATTCCCATTATAAACATTCTTTATATCTAGATTTTAAAAAATTTGAAAAAAAAAAAGACTAACGAGAAAAAAAAAAGACTAAAAGTTAAAATAAAAGATCTGAAAAGAATTTCCCTAATAAAATAAATTCCCAGTCATTAAAATAATTTTCCATTATAAACCCATCAAAAAATTTTCCTCATATAGAAATATGCATATATATATACACACATATACACACATATATAAATATATACAACTTATGTATATGCTACATATATATAACTATGTATATATATATGACTATGTATATATATTTATACATATACATATATATATATATATATATATATATATATATATATATATATATATATATATATATATATATATATATATATATATATATATATATATATATATATATAAATAAATATAAATATATATATATATATAAATATATATATATATATATATATATATATATATATATATATATATATATATATATATATATATATATATATATATATATATATATGTACACACACATGGAGTTATGGAGTTTTTATTTTTTATGGTTAAATAAAAAATTTAAGGAAAATTTTGTAACTTCCTGGTGAAAATTAGTATTTAAAGTTTTAATTAAAAAATTCCTACCATAACTTGTAAAAGATAAAAAACCAAAAACTTTTTTTAAAATGATGAAGATCACATTAAAAATCATAAATCTAATATTCTCTAAAAATCATAAATCTAATATTTTCTAAAAATCATAAATCTAATATTTTCTAATATTTTCTAAAAATCATAAATCTAATATTTTCTAATATTTTGCTTAATATATGTGCTTTTTAATTTTATCGGTATAAGAGGTAAGACACTTTATTTCTTGAATTAAAAAATGTTGAATTACATTACACATGTAATGTAAATGACTTATTTCTTTTTATTTTATTGAAAGCTTATGATATCCAGAACAAAATCATTTTTATTTGTACAATAATCTTTTTAGATTTTTCTCTTCATGGGAACTATTATATTTTGCACAATGTGAGATTTATACTCTGCAATCTTTATAAAGTCAGTGCTTGATTTTGCTTCTTTTTATGAAACATGACCTTAATAATTGCATAATATTGTTCAATTTGATAAAATTCAAGACAATTTGCTAAATTGTGTGTTCTAGATATAAAGTTTATGTCATTTAGACTGTTAAAAATTAAAGTATGTTCAAAGTAATGGCAAGATGCATGGTCAGGCTAAAAAATTACATTACCACTGTTAAGGTTCTGTAGTTGGCATTTTAATTATTTAGGTACTCCAAAGCCCATATGGTTTTATCACAGAGTACCATGGCGTTATAGATTATAACGCCATGGTACTCTGTGATAATACCATATGACCTATCAAATTTATTGATAGATCATATGGTATACATAAATATGGTATATAATAAGGCATAATATTTTAACGAGCTCAAGCTTCCTTCCTTACTAATTATTCATATTTGGCTGGCTTCAAATCACAGACCTACAGTTTGGAAGCCAGAGCTATAACCATGAAACCACGGCTGCAAAAAAATTGATTGTAGAATTTGTGATAAAACTTTGTGATGTAGTAGTGGTGTAATGGTAGAGCGCTTGCCTGATAAGCAAAAAGTTCAGAGTTCAATCCCCACCAAATCCCTGGTAGTACCTTGCTCAACTTGTTTCTCCGTGTAGCGGCCTTGTTCGCCAAGGTTCCTGTTTCTGAGTTATAGAGTTGAGAGAGGGTTGTAACCATCATTATAGTGGCCTCCTTGACTGTAGTGACCTTCTTGGCTTTGGGGAGGTGAATTAACTTAAAAAAATTTTTAAAAAATTATAAATTTCAAATCACATTGACATATGGCCAAACCATAACCTTTTAATAATTTCTTTTAGCTTTGTCAACATAAATTTAGTCTTTACCATTTCCCTGCGAACTTCCATACAAAATGATGTCTTGGTATTTATCATTTCCATGCAAACTTCCATACAAAAATGGTCTTGGTATTTATCATTTCCCTGCAAACTTTCATACAAAAATGATGTCCTAGTATTGTTTTGAAATCTAATTTCACGCAAGTCTTATCCATAATTACAAATGGTTTTTTTACCCAATAATTTGTAATACTTTCCTTAACAGCTTCTTGCCACTAAATTTCTTCAGTATTGCAATCTTGGGTTTTACACATTTTGAAGGACTTGATTTTATGTTTTTGTTCTTAATAGTCTGAACTTCTTTTCTAGTAGTTTTCCATTTTAAGGTTAAATCTTGCTCAGAAATGAAAGAATTTGCCCTAACTTTGGACAAAACATTTTTAATTTTCTTAGTTAATTTTCAAGTTGTTGCTGCTTTTAGGTTTTCTATTTATTTTATGAAATATTAAATACTTCATTAAGGTTCTAATCTCAGTACTTTTTAGATATCTAACAATTTTTACAAATTAGAATTTTCTGCTCAGGTCTACAAAATTGTGTCACACACTTGTTGTTTTGTTGCTATTTTAAATACTAATTAAAATTTATTTTAAAAATATTTAAATACCTAATACATAGACAATTGTTTTTCTGCGCAATAACATTGTGTGATAACATTCTGTGTGATAATCACAGGGGTGTGGAGTTGTAAAAAAAAAGTAATGACTCCGACTTCAGTTGTTGAATTCAATTTTTTGAGTACAACTCCGACTCCGACTCCAACTCTGACTCCAACTACAACTACAAAACAAAATTTTTGAAAAATTGTTTGAATCCTTTAAAAAATATTATGCAATAGGATTTACGAAACGTTCTTTGAGGTTTAGTATGAATATAAGGTTAATTGCAAGTTTTGTACATGCACAAACAATACCGAGAAGTTTTACTATTGGAGTCAGAGTCGCGATTATGTTTAGCGACTCCGACTCAGCTGAAAATGTTGCAACTCCGCAAATCCGACTCTGACTCCACAGCCCTGGATAATATTCTGTGCAATTTTGTAGTAACCAAATTTTAAGTTTTATTTAAGTTGACTCTTAAAATCAAAATAAGATTAGGGTAAAACTTATATCATTTATTTTTACAATTTATATCAATAAAAATAACAGTTGATGTTAGTCTACCTTAACATAATCAGTGATTTCATCATAATTCTTTATTTCAGCATTAGAAATCATAAAATCACCATAAAGTACTGGTTCGTGTGTCAACATTTCATCTATATTTATTTTAAATCCTGCACTTATATGCTCTTTAAGGTGATTGTTAAACCATTTGCGATCCTCTTCGTTAACTAAACGATCTTGAAATACTCTGCAATTTTCATGATACCTTAATATTAAAATAGTCACAAAATTAATTAACATATTGTTAAAAATAAAAATAATAATAAAAAAGACATTCACAATTTATGTTATCATAAATGCATCACAATGCATTTTAAACTGGTTACGATATTATGATTGCTTATTTAATTTACCAAATTTGTGTTTACCATGCACAGCGGGCCAGAGATTGCCATGAATACCGAAAATGAGTATTTGTGGAAACTTTATAAAATTTTTGCAATATTTTAAAGTTAATACCTTACAATAAAAAATCTGTTGTTTAAATATTTTATTTTTGTTTTAGGAGTCCTGGGAAAGTTTTTAAGTTCGTCCATTTTAAAAACTTTTTAAAAAAAGATTTCACCTCGTAAGCACAGTTTTTTTTAATTTAATTAAAAATTTATATCTCAATAGGGTAAATGCTTTATTTTAGAAAACCTGACAAATAAAAATATTCTTTATTTTAGGACTTTTTTTTTAACTTTAAATATGATAGTTAAAGGTATTACAAAATATAATAAAAAGTTACCATAAATGGCTCAAGATCTTTTTTCGCCCACGTTTCCCCACTATGGAAATAACTTATTTACATTGTCTTAATATTGTAGGTTTATCATTAAAAATTTAAAAAAATCCAAAATATTAAGGGTCATAAATTTTCTTAGTGGATTGTAACCACCTCACTCTTCAAACTTACATTTTTACACTTAAGGTTGTGAAGCAAATATTAAAATCAGAAAAAAATGACGCAGTTTATTCAACAACTATGTTTTCTGGAGAGGAAGCATTAGTGTTGATTTTGGACTGCCAACTTAGTAAAGCCAATTACCAAACAGTTCCCATTGGAGCAGTTTCTAAAGGAAACAAATTGTATCCAACTTATAATGAAGGGAAGAAAAAGATTTATGCATAACTCGTTGTGGAATACAAACTACTGATTATTCAGCCTCAGTTGATTTACAGAGCCTTATTGACCATACTACATACAGGTTATTAAAGTGTCTACAATAAGTTTTGCTTTTAAGTATTTCCTTTCAAGTATATAGCATTTGTGGACTGGCCCATTCAAATATGAACAATCTTAATGTTGCTTTTTCAAAAATCTATAATACAGTATTCACTGAGCTCGGATTGAGCACATTACATGCATAAATTAGGTGCTTTGAATGCTGCCTTCATATAAGTTATAGAATTGAATTAGTAAAGCGGCAAGTTAGAGAAGAGGATGATAAAGAAATTGTTATATAAAAAAAGATTATTGTTCAACAAAAGATGAAAAATCACTTAGGTTTAATTGCAGATGTACCAAAAAGCAGCGGTTCAGGTACAACAAATGATAAAAACACGGCACAAAAAGTATTCCAAAACTATAAGTTGTCTGCTGAAATACTCAACTTAGATAAAAATTTCATGAAACGTTTCTACGTAGTTCTTTACGTTTTATTGTGCAAACATCAAATTAACGCTGATGAACTTGAAAAATATACCAAAAAAACAGCAGAGCTATACATTTCTCTGTACCCATGGTTTCCAATGCCTCAAATTGTACATAAAATTCTAATTCATAGTTCTCAAGTTGTAAAAATTAAACCAGTACCAGTATGCCTTCTTTCTGAAGAAGCTCAGGAATGTCGAAATAAAGACATTAAAAATTATAGAGAACACCATAATGAGAAAATATTCAAGAAAAGTCACAAATGAAGTTGTTATGCAAAGATTATTGTGCAGTTCAGATCCAATTATTAGCTTTCTAAGAAGGAGTTCGAGATGTAGTAAAGAATTTGAACTTAACAAAGATTGTATAAAACTTTTGTTATAACTTTTTTTTAATTTTAAGTTTTGAATATTATTACTCTGATTTCTGATAAAATATCTAAAAAATGTTTTTTTGTTTATAAAAATATCTAATAAATGTTTCTTTGTTTATAAAAATATCAAAAAAATGTTTTTTTGTTTATAAAAATATCTAATAAATGTTTCTTTGTTTATAAAAATATCTAATAAATGTTTTTTTGTTTATAAAAATATCTAATAAATGTTTCTTTGTTTATAAAAATATCTAATAAATGTTTTTTTGTTTATAAAAATATCTAAAAAATGTTTTTTTGTTTATAAAAATATCTAATAAATGTTTCTTTGTTTATAAAAATATCTAATAAATGTTTCTTTGTTTATAAAAATATCTAAAAAATGTTTCTTTGTTTATAAAAATATCTAAAAAATGTTTCTTTGTTTATAAAAATATCTAAAAAATGTTTTTTTGTTTATAAAAATATCTAATAAATGTTTCTTTGTTTATAAAAATATCTAATAAATGTTTCTTTGTTTATAAAAATATCTAATAAATGTTTCTTTGTTTATAAAAATATCTAAAAAATGTTTCTTTGTTTATAAAAATATCTAAAAAATGTTTCTTTGTTTATAAAAATATCTAAAAAATGTTTTTTTGTTTATAAAAATATCTAATAAATGTTTCTTTGTTTATAAAAATATCTAATAAATGTTTCTTTGTTTATAAAAATATCTAATAAATGTTTCTTTGTTTATAAAAATATCTAATAAATGTTTCTTTGTTTATAAAAATATCTAATAAATGTTTCTTTGTTTATAAAAATATCTAAAAAATGTTTCTTTGTTTATAAAAATATCTAATAAATGTTTCTTTGTTTATAAAAATATCTAATAAATGTTTCTTTGTTTATAAAAATATCTAAAAAATGTTTTTTTGTTTATAAAAATATCTAAAAAATGTTTCTTTGTTTATAAAAATATCTAAAAAATGTTTCTTTGTTTATAAAAATATCTAAAAAATGTTTCTTTGTTTATAAAAATATCTAAAAAATGTTTCTTTGTTTATAAAAATATCTAAAAAATGTTTTTTTGTTTATAAAAATATCTAATAAATGTTTCTTTGTTTATAAAAATATTTAATAAATGTTTCTTTGTTTATAAAAATATCTAAAAAATGTTTCTTTGTTTATAAAAATATCTAATAAATGTTTCTTTGTTTATAAAAATATCTAATAAATGTTTCTTTGTTTATAAAAATATCTAATAAATGTTTCTTTGTTTATAAAAATAGCTAATAAATGTTTCTTTGTTTATAAAAATATCTAATAAATGTTTCTTTGATTATAAAAATATCTAAAAAATGTTTTTTTGTTTATAAAAATATCTAAAAAATGTTTCTTTGTTTATAAAAATATCTAAAAAATGTCTCTTTCTTTATAAAAATATCTAAAAAATGTTTCTTTGTTTATAAAAATATCTAAAAAATGTTTCTTTGTTTATAAAAATATCTAAAAAATGTTTCTTTGTTTATAAAAATATCTAATAAATGTTTCTTTGTTTATAAAAATATCTAATAAATGTTTCTTTGTTTATAAAAACATCTAAAAAATGTTTCTTTGTTTATAAAAATATCTAAAAAATGTTTTTTTGTTTATAAAAATATCTAAAAAATGTTTCTTTGTTTATAAAAATATCTAAAAAATGTTTCTTTGTTTATAAAAATATCTAAAAAATGTTTCTTTGTTTATAAAAATATCTAAAAAATGTTTCTTTGTTTATAAAAATATCTAATAAATGTTTCTTTGTTTATAAAAATATCTAATAAATGTTTCTTTGTTTATAAAAATATCTAAAAAATGTTTTTTTTGTTTATAAAAATATCTAAAAAATGTTTCTTTGTTTATAAAAATATCTAATAAATGTTTCTTTGTTTATAAAAATATCTAATAAATGTTTCTTTGCTTATAAAAATATCTAATAAATGTTTCTTTGTTTATAAAAATATCTAATAAATGTTTCTTTGTTTATAAAAATATCTAATAAATGTTTCTTTGATTATAAAAATATCTAAAAAATGTTTTTTTGTTTATAAAAATATCTAAAAAATGTTTCTTTGTTTATAAAAATATCTAAAAAATGTTTCTTTGTTTATAAAAATATCTAAAAAATGTTTCTTTGTTTATAAAAATATCTAAAAAATGTTTCTTTGTTTATAAAAATATCTAAAAAATGTTTCTTTGTTTATAAAAATATCTAAAAAATGTTTCTTTGTTTATAAAAATATCTAATAAATGTTTCTTTGTTTATAAAAATATCTAATAAATGTTTCTTTGTTTATAAAAATATCTAAAAAATGTTTCTTTGTTTATAAAAATATCTAAAAAATGTTTCTTTGTTTATAAAAATATCTAAAAAATGTTTTTTTGTTTATAAAAATATCTAATAAATGTTTCTTTGTTTATAAAAATATCTAATAAATGTTTCTTTGTTTATAAAAATATCTAAAAAATGTTTCTTTGTTTATAAAAATATCTAAAAAATGTTTCTTTGTTTATAAAAATATCTAAAAAATGTTTCTTTGTTTATAAAAATATCTAAAAAATGTTTTTTTGTTTATAAAAATATCTAATAAATGTTTCTTTGTTTATAAAAATATCTAATAAATGTTTCTTTGTTTATATAAATATCTAATAAATGTTTCTTTGTTTATAAAAATATCTAAAAAATGTTTCTTTATTTATAAAAATATCTAAAAAATGTTTCTTTGTTTATAAAAATATCAAAAAAATGTTTTTTTGTTTATAAAAATATCTAATAAATGTTTCTTTGTTTATAAAAATATCTAATAAATGTTTCTTTGTTTATAAAAATATCTAAAAAATGTTTCTTTGTTTATAAAAATATCTAAAAAATGTTTCTTTGTTTATAAAAATATCTAAAAAATGTTTTTTTGTTTATAAAAATATCTAATAAATGTTTCTTTGTTTATAAAAATATCTAATAAATGTTTCTTTGTTTATAAAAATATCTAATAAATGTTTCTTTGTTTATAAAAATATCTAAAAAATGTTTCTTTGTTTATAAAAATATCTAAAAAATGTTTCTTTGTTTATAAAAATATCTAAAAAATGTTTTTTTATTTATAAAAATATCTAATAAATGTTTCTTTGTTTATAAAAATATCTAATAAATGTTTCTTTGTTTATAAAAATA